TTTTAAGCCCAAAGCGTCGCCGGCCATTTTAAAGATGCGTCGCCGGGTAATTTTTAATGAAAAGCCATTTACACTGAGTAATGACGAACTATTTACAAGCCACGAACTTATTACAAGGTTGCATGCACGTGTTACCCCAAATAACTAATTTTACCCTAAAAACAGTCCGGTTGTACAGCAAGTGTCAACTGAACAAGTAATAAAGCAGTCTGACCGCTCTAATGCGACCGAAACTACGCAATCGAAAAAATGTTGTTTACATTTTTTGCGGGAACTCATCGCAACTGATTTCCGGACGAGCTTCGCTGCATCGTAATCCATCCAACGTACCGGAAACCTTACTTTTTTTCTAAATAGTTGGCTGAAGACTGAGAAATATATTAAATGCAAGAATTTCAATCTAAATGTGTCGGCAAGATCTTCTGAAGGCAAAAATTTTGCCGATAATGCGTTGCCGTAGATCTTTAAATTTTTGTTCACTCTCTGCACAGTGGTAAATAGATCACTGTATGCGCAACTTGAGTTCTGATTGGTTTACATCACTCTCAAAACACCACACTAGGCTATGCCCCAGCAATGATGAAACAACATAATCTGTTGCCATATTTATAATTATTTAAAAGCCTTTAGAATTCAAATCTACAAAATCGCTTAATTCCAACACTGTGAAACACTGTGAATAAATGCAATATATTGTGAGACTAATTCTAATAATATATTGTGAGACTAAAACAGCCCTTCAAAATTGTAATTCGTAATTCAGACACCCTGCGTTGGAATTCTGACACCCTGTGAGCTGTGTCAGAATACGACAGTAAACGACACCCTGTGTGTCATAATTTTGACACCCTGTGTCGGAATTAGTTTTTATGTGTCTAAAACCGTCTCTTAAATCAATCATCTGTTGATTTATTTACCACTTAAAATCAGCAAATACAAGTATGAAGTATATGGTAAACGCGGTATATTCCGACATCATGGGTAATTCCGTCACGGCGTCACCTCTCTAGTTTTTCCTTTATATTAAGTTTTGTTTTAGTTTCATGCGTTCGTTGATGGTTGAAATGGTGACAAGCTGGAATTCTAAGAATGGAAGTTCACTTATAAAAATGCTTTCCACCCAAAGTGAAAAGCTTTCCTTTGATGCAGTGCTCTGCCATGTTACTGACTATAAATGTAAAGATGGATCATAAATGGACAAACTGTTCCTATTGTATAGTACATCAGGGTTGTTATAGAATAATTTGGATGTCTCTTGTTTGATAGATATTTTTTATTTTATTTATTGGATTTTTAGAAAATTTTCCAGGCCCTTTGTTCATAATGATCAAGTTTTAAGTTAAGTATTTAGTTAACCAGTACTGTAGCACATATACCATATTTGGGGGCGGGATTCCATTAACCAATCACAGCTGGAAAGCTGAAAGGGGCTAAAATCACAATCTTATCAATCAATCACAGCTGGAATTCTGAAAAGGGATAGGATATGTACATAATTGACTGAAAGTGTAAAGTTCCTGGTCTTTCCAAGATTTCAGGTCCTGCTTTCCAATATGCTATGTGTACTGGTTAATTTAATATCCCTCTAGAATTCCACACTGAATGGTGACGTCATACATTTGCGCATCGAACTACTGCCAAAACACAAGGTCTTGGCCATCTAGCGGGAAAATATTGAGATCCAAAGAGAGACAATGCACGCTACCCAGTGAGATCATCAAAAAATGTGTCAAATTTGACAGTTGACCATGCTCTACCAAATAGTGAATAACTGTTTGTATAGGAAGAATATTATGGTTTGAGACTTTTAAATACATCTGCGAATATTTTAGGAATCCTTTAAGTATACTTGTATCTGCTGATTTCAAGTGGTAAATAAATTAATAGATGATTAAGTTGAGAAATGGATTTAGACACATGAAAACTAATTCCGTCACAACTTGAATTGGACACACACAGATCGTTCCAAGCTATGTACATTGTACAAAAATTAAAATATGCTTAATTAAAAGCTTAATAGTTGTTAATTGAAAGCGTAATTAAGTAGTGTTCAATATTCATTAGTGTTCTTATTCAAAGCCGTGTTGTATTCCAATACAGCTCACACAGCGAACGGAATTCAAACACGTGGATGACGGCATTACGTATCAGTAGAATTTGAAGAGCGGACGGAATACGCCTCACCACGTGCCGAATATTGCCACACACAGTGTCGGAATATAGGGATTTGGTAGGTTTGCATTCTAAAGGCTTTTAAATAAATATGGCAACATTTTGTGATGTTTCATTGTTGCTGGCGCGTAGTACGGTGTTTTGCGAGTCACATAAAGCAAACAGAACTTGAG